GAAGCAATAATGACAGAACTGTCCAAAACTGATGAAGGACATCAAGGAACAAATTTAAGAAGTGTTAATAAGCATGACAAATAGAAACAAAGTTGTATTTGAGCAATTAAATTAAAACTGTGAAAAACAAATATAAAAAGAAAGACATTAAAAGCAGATAAAGAATAAAGAAAAATAATTTCAAAGAAGCAACAATTATAACAGTTGGATTTGAAACAGAATCAGTGGAAGCTAAAAGACAATGAACTGATAGCTTTAAAGATTTTAAAATAAAATTACTCCTATCCAAATAACATATTCAGCTAAAATATCTTCTGAGAATGAAGACAAAATAAAAACTTTTCAGACAAATGCAGATTTAAAAATTTTTCTACCAGCAAATTCATATTGAAGTAATAAATTGTGTTCTTCAGGTAGAGGGTAAACAATCCCATATATAAAGTCAGAGTTAAGAAGCAACAAAGATGAAATATGTGGGAAATATTAAACAGATATTGACTGTATAAAAAAAACAGTGCTTATTAATTTTATGGGATACAGATATAGAGATATATTATTGGGATACAGGTACAGAGATATATTATTAGCATAGCATGTAAAACTCAAATAGGTTAAATAGACTTAATCCATAGTATCAGGAAAAATCATAGTGAACACTTATAAATATTTTAGAAGAATGGTAAAATATAATACTGTAAATAAAAACTTAAGGGGTCAATTAAATCTTGGTTAGGCAGGGGGATGTAGAATTTTATTTATTATTACTCTTATTATTTTTAAAACTTTCAATGTTTATTTTTGAGAGAGAGAGAGAGAGAGAGAGAGAGAGAGCAAGCACAAGCAGCAGAGGGGCAGAGAGAGAGGGAGACACAGAAGCCAAAGCAGGCTCCAGGCTTCAGGCTGTTGGCACAGAGCCAGACACAGGGCTTGAACTCATGAACTGTGAGATCATGACCTGAGCTGAAGGTAGATGCTTAACTGACTGAGCCACTCAGGCACCCCTAGAATTTTAAACGTGTGAGTGAGGACAGGTTGAAAATAAACAAGTAACTATCTGTGAATGTAATACATAGAACAGCAAATCATAACCAAAGGAAGAAGAGGAAAGGAAATAATCATGATCAAACATAAATAAAATAGAAAAATAATATAATAAAGAGTCAATAAATCCTATGTTTCATTCTTTGCAAGGATTTGTAAAATTCATAATCCTCCAGCAAGACTGATTAGGAAATGACATATGCAAGGACTAGAAGAGTAGACATCTTTTCAGATCCTATAAATGTTAAAAAGATGGTGAGAGGATTCTCTGAATAATTTCATGCCAATAAATAAGCACAAATTCCTAGAGAAGTATAACTTAGACCCAGGAAGAAATAGAAAATGTGAATTGTCCTATAACTCTTAAATACATTGAATCTCCGTACTTATATGGCTTTCCAAATTAAAGAAATAGAACCAATTCTATACAAATTCTTCCAGCGAAAAGAAGAAAAGCAAGAAGTCTTTGCCATTGACATTATGAAGCCAGCATATTCTCCATTCTAACCTGGTAAGGACATTATAAGATAGAACACCTTTGGTCTCTGTCATAAATAAAGGTGGAAAAAAATGCTAAAGAAAATGTTGTATCAAATCTAGTAATACATAAAAAGGATAATACATTATGACCATGTAGCGTGCATCCTAGGAATGCAAATTTGTTTAAAATTAGAAAATCCATCAGTGCAATTCACCACACTAATGGAATAAGGGAGAAAAATCACTTGATCATTGATCATCTCAACAGATTCAGAAAAAAAATTGATAAATTCAATATTCTTTATTGTAAAAACTTTTTCTTACAACAGGAGGAAACTTTCTTAAAGTAATAAAGGGTACCTACAAAAACTTGTGTATTTACTGGGGAACTTTAGACCTGAAGTTGGGAATAACACAAGCATGTCTGCTATCACCACCTGGAGGCCATCGAGAGTACAAAATATCCAGAAAAGTAAATATAAAATATAAATATTGGGGAAAAAACCTCTTGTTATTTGCAGACAATATGATTGTAAGTAGAATATTTAAAGATACAGATAAATTATTAGAAGTAGAAGTGTAGTTAGTAAGGTTGTTGAGAAAAATGTCATTATATAAAATCAGTTGTATCTGTATACTGGTAAAAAAAAAGAATTTTACCAAGTAAAATAAAATATTTTAAGATAGTATTGTTAAACTACTTTTGAGAAAAAAATGTTTTAAAGATTTAAATAGGTACATGATAATGGATTGGAAAATACTAAGATACATTTTCAACTAAAATCCCAGCTAGCTTTTGCATGGAATTGACAAGAAAGTTTTAAAATTTACATGTAAAGATGAAAGTCCAAGAAGAGCCAAAATATTGTTTATGATAAGGGTAAATTAGGAGAATTCACTCTGTTAGATTTCAAGACTTAGTATGAAAGTACAGTAATTAAGCCTGTTGGCACAAGGGTAAACAAAGAGATCCCTGGCATAAAATATAGAGCCCTGAAATAGACACATACCTACATGGATATTTAAATCATCACAAAGGTGTCACAGCAGAGGAGCGAGAAAAGGAAAATATTTTAAATAGTGTTGGAACAATTAGAAGTCTACATGGAAAAAAAAATAAGAATGACTCTTATATCACATGATGCACTAAAATCTATTCTAGACCAATTGTAGGTTTCAACGTGAAAGGCAAAAGAGCAAAGCTTCTAGAAGATAATATATGAAATTGTCTTTATGACAGTGAGGTAGCGCATGTTCTAATCATCTGGGAAAATATCAATACATTTTACTATATTAAAAATAAGAGTTTCTGTTTATCAGAAGATATAATAAAGAGAACAAGAGGGCAAAACAAGTGGAAGAAAAATCATTACGACATATTTAATTAGCAAAGGATTTTTATCCACAGTACATGAAAAATACTATAAATTAATAGAATGTCGTATAATTTAATAGAAAAAGGGCAAGAGACATGAGCTGTCACTGTACCGAAGGGGACATCCAAATGACCAAACAACATATGAAGAGGTGCTCCATCTCATTCGTAGTTAGGAAAATACAAACTCATGCGCAATGAGATGCACACTCACCAAAATGGCCAAAATTAGAAACACTGGCAATACCAAGTATACACAAGGTTGTGGAAAATGTGAACTCTTATTCATTGCAAATAGGACAGTAAATTGGTCATTGCCTATAATCCTGAAGATAAGCATATATTGAAGTCCAGAAATTCTGTTCTTAGGTGAATGACCAACCCATGTAGATTAAGAGACATACAAGTAGAAGAATATTCATAGAAGCATTATTTGTAATCCTAACTTGGAAACATTCCAAATGCCTATGTAGAGAGGAATCTACAAACTGCCATATATTCATGTAAGAGAATACTATATAACAATGAAAATATATGCACCTTAGATATGGTCTATCCCTGCATTGTTGGTTTAAACGATCATTTTGCCATTGTCTCCCAGTTCTGCGGTTTGGCTGAATTCACCTAGGGTGTCCTTGCTTGTCTCTAATAAACAGTCATTTGGTGACTGGAGCTGGAGTCATCATTCACTCAAAATATTGTGACATTGAAGCTAGCTGAAGGTGAGAACCTCTGCTGGGCACCAGCAGAGCTGTGTTCCCTGGACCTGTCTCTATTTGATCTATCCATATTGTTTCCCCACCTGGCTCACTCCGTGGAGCTCAATTTCTTATATGGCAGCTGAAGGTTCCCATAGTGAATATCCTGAGTGAAATTGGCAGAAGCTGCATGGCTTTTTCTAACCTAACTCTAAAGTCTTCTGTAGACTTTTCTGGATATATATTATACAATTTAAAAGGCTAAAAATTAAAAGAACATAATTCCAGTCCAGTAAGGAGGGACAGGATCTCCCAGAGTGGTGAGGAACATTGTTCTTCTTCTTGTTTTTAGTCCCTCACTACCCTCTAAGGCTTAGCTTAGCTCTTGACAACCTGGCCCCAACCTCCTTGCTGATTTTAATCTTCCTTTCACATTTTGCACTTAGATCACAAGAATGCTGAGAACCAACTGACTTGTGCTGCACTTTTTCATGTATCTCTGTGATAGAATTATGGCCCTCCAAAGATGTTCACCTTCTAATCCCTAGAACTTTTGAATACATTACCTTACATGGCAAAAGGGGCTTTGCAGATATAATTAAATTAAGAATCTTGAAAATGGTGAGATTGTCCTGGATTATCCAGGTAGGCCCAGTGTAAACACAAGGAGACTCAGAGCAAGAGTCAGAGAAGGAGATGTGAGGGACAGAATCAGTGGTCAGAATGTGCAATTGCTTGAAAGGGCACAAGTCAAGAGATGTAGGAAATCTCTAGAAATTGAAAAGGCAAGGAAATGAATTTTTTCCTACTATCTCCAGAAAGAACCAGTCCACCAACACCTTAAGTTGAGTCTCTCAAGACCCATTTTCAGAATTCTGACCTTCTAAACTGAAAGATAATAGATTTCTGTTGTTTTAAACTCCCAAATTTGTGGTAATTTGTGACAGGAGCAATAGAATCTAATGATATCCCCCACCCCCTTTTTTCCCCAATCTACGACCTTTTCTATATTGTTTGGTTTTACTTGAAACACTTCCTTACACCAACTCTTTTTAAAATCCTACCCGGTATTAAAGACCTAGCTCAGCTGCTCTCCTCCTTGAGACCTTCTTACCATCAGAATCAGAAATAACTCTTAATCCTCTAAAACACTAGGGCACTTACCAGCACTGATAGTCCACTAATCACATATTACTTCAAGTACTTCAAGTATAGAAAGGTGCGATATACCTTACTGCTGTTCCAATTTCTGTTCAGGAATGTTATACATATTAGTCACACACTCACTTGTTGAGTGGATATAGGAGGAAAAGAAGGTTATCATAAAGTATTTAAAAATATTTCTAGTAATAATACATAAAATAGTTGATATTTATATAAAAATATAAAAGTAAGTTGTAACATACATTTGCAACTTTATATGATCCATTTAATATCTGTTCCATGTAATGATTTAGATCTCTGAATCGTTTGTGGTCTGAGTTTGTAAAAGGTACGTGCCACCAATGAGGAAACCTGTTTAAAACATAAATAAAATAAAAAAGAAGTGTATCTTTATTAGTTTGAAAACTGGTCTCTGCATCTTAGGGTTGTTAGTGAAGTTATAGCTACATCAGATGGAGGGGCCAGTGAAAACATTAAAAAAAAAAAAAACACATAGAACACATGATTAATCCTGAGAGTTTCATTAACATGATTGTGGTCACTTGTGCTATTTTAACTTTCATTAATATTAATGCTAATTTAATTTAATTTAACCTATTAAACTAATATATATGTTCCTTCTTGCTGTATTCATGGAAGACCACACATATTGTCTTTTAAATACATGTGGAGGCTTAATAAATACTTTCTGAAGTTAATGATTCATTATTTTTCACAAAGGTCAGATTGTATTGTTTCTTCTGGGTTCATTAGAGATATTTCTGCATTAACTAAATTAAACATTTTACCAAGTGACATATGTTTCCATCTGGTCTTAGTCTTTTGGAACACTGTATCATTTTCCTCAAGAGTCTGACTTGCAGAATTTCCTCTGCACTCTCTGAAGATTCCTCTTGATGGGTTAGATGTGATTAAGACCAATTACTGAGTGGAATGAACTGTTAATGGTTAGCATTTGGTGACATATTTTTCTGGCTAAGTACATTTTCTTAGGAACTACCTAGCAGCTTTCTCTGACTTCAGTCTTGCTGCTTCCTCCTTCATACTTCTGCTTCTTTGGTACAGGTATTTCCCTGGGGTAAGGGTAAGAGGGATAGAGAAGGGCTGTCAGCAGACACAGAAGTAGGTGACAACTACGGGCCAACCCATTCACTGTTTCCTGTTGTAAATGTTAAGGAAGTCCAGAATTACGTTTGTGTATTTAAATAATTGACATTTTATTTTTCAAAAGGTCTCCTGCAATTCTAAGGCTTAAAGTATCAAAAATTTTCACCCAGATTTAATTATCACAATAATTTGTACCATATACAGTTAGTTCAAAACATAGAAACACATTTGATTAACAGATGGATTGGGCAGGTTTTAAATATTAATTTGGGGGCTCCTGGGTGGCTCATTCTGTTGAGCGTCCGACTTCGGCCCAGGTCATGATCTCATAGCTCGTGAGTTTGAGCCCCGCGTCAGGCTCTGTGCTGACAGCTCAGAGCCTGGAGCCTGCTTTGAATTCTGTGTCTCCCTCTCTCTCTGCCCCTAACTCACTCTCATTCTGTCTCTGTCTCTCTCAAAAGTAAACGTTAAAAAAATTAATTTGTATATCTGTAGATGAATTTTCCTTATTGTTAGAGTAATTTGTAGTTCAATATCAATTCTGTTCCCTTGTTGATGTTTTTTTCAGAGGTAGGTACTAAAAAATCTTGTATATAATTAAGTATGAGAGAATTTAAGAGCTTAGCCATAGTAATGTCATTCAATTGTCTGAAATGCTTTTCAGTTACATGTCAAATATAATATAGCAATCATTTTGTGAAAATGAGTTTTTATCTTTTATGTGACAGCACCATCATGTCCCCTGCCATTTTGTTCATGCCAAAGAGTAGGAAACATCTGACTGACAAACAGATTTGATATCTGGGTATTAGAATAATTCCTTTTTTCCCCCAGTACCAACACCAATGTCTTGACTTGCCTTTTATTTGATTCTCAGAGATTTTTTACTCTCTGGGACAACGCACCAAAATAAGTTCTGGATGGTCGGGAGAAGAACAATGTTGAAAGTAGAAGAGGGAAAGGAAATCAACCCTTTCATTTTTAAGCAGGTTAATTTAAAGAAGACCTTTAATTGTGTGGAAGATTCCAATGCCTGTGTATTCTTGGGAGATACAAAGAGCCTGCTTTGAAGACCCCTGTCATATACTATGAATAATGTGAATTTTATTCTTCATGACTCTAACTTTCTGATCATATTCTCCAGATCAGGTTAACATAATTCTTGTAGGGCTTCTCTTAGTAAATTTGGGAGTCAGAGGAAATCTTGCTTTCATCCTTCATTTATATGTATCACTGGAAGCCTTGGTTCCTTTGGAACTATCAGCATACAAATATTGTCAAGGGCATACACGAACTATATGCTCCCCACCTCCAACCCCCCTCCCCCTCCCCCCCGCCCCCCCCCACACTGCTTGAACGGTCTTAAAATCTTTTTAAATACCATTGTCAGGCAGTTGAACAAGGCATAATCTTAGAACTAAAGCTGAAAAATCAAGAAGAGACATATGGAGAGAGATTATTAACATTTTTAAGGTTTTACAAGTTATGTTAAGTTTAGTGGACAGATAAAAGTGTAGAACAGAGTTCTTGAAACCAAAAAAGGGCAGCCATTGAACAGTAACATTTTAAATCATTAATTGGTAGAGTACAATGACAGTCCCTGATGTTGAATTCAATATTTGCAGTCAAACTTTGAATTTTTTTTTTGCCAGCACCTCCTTTTCTGTTATTTTATCAGATGGTCTTCAGTAATTCTTTTTTTTTTAAATTTTTTTAATGTTTATTTATTTTTGAGACAGAGAGAGACAGAGCATGAATGGGGGAGGGTCAGAGAGAGGGAGACACAGAATCTGAAACGGGCTCCAGGCTCTGAGCTGTCAGCACAGAGCCTGACGCGGGGCTCGAACTCACGGACCGCGAGATCATGACTTGAGCCGAAGTCGGCCGCTTAACCGACTGAGCCACCCAGGCGCCCCGGTTTTCAGTAATTCTTAAAGCTGGTGTTGCTTTTAAGTTTCCACAATGACACTCCTTTCCTCTCAGTCTCTTGAACATACTCTTACTCTAATTTGTTGACTTCCTGATATTTAAAGCATCTGTATTTCAAAATTTCTGTAGCATCTGCAAGTAGTGAACTATTCACTCTTCAATATTGCACCATATCTCTCCATTCATTGATAACTTTGCTTAGATTTGTATTTTGGAAGGTGACTAAATCCTGAAAGCCTAGTAAAAAGCCTAGTACTTCGTCCACATGTACAAAGTATGTCAGGTCAGATATGGACATTCACATTATTAAGGGACCATTTCCTTAACAAAAATTCCTAAGTGTAGATAAAATAACGTTTGATTTACCTAAGTGCCAATATAATTTCTGGCAAGTTCCTTTTTAAAGTCAAGATACACCTTTCGTATACACTGAAATCTATGACCTAAATTTGGCAAGTCCTAAGTGATGAATTTTAGAAGGTTTATTTGAACAGAAGTTGTTTGCAGTTATATTCTTAATTTGTTTATACTTAAATATTTTAAAAATGATAACATGAACAAAAGCAATGGTTTTCAAGATTGTTTGAAAAGAAACATAATGACAAATTAGATTTAGACGATCCAAGTCAAAGTTAATCATTAACAACAAAAGTGAGTTGGTGCTAGTAAATTTTACTTCTATGCTAAATGATATTAATGAATCTTTTTCTGGTATGGAAAATAAATGTATCAGGGCTTTTAACTGCAATTATTTGTTGAAAGAGTAGATATATCCAACTTAGTTCTGCATTTTCAATGTCAATTTTATTTTTATTGAAAAACCCAAAAAGATTAAATTTAAAAACAGGCAAATAAAACAATTTTCCTGGTAACTGATGAAAAATGAAATCACTCCTGAATTTTTCTGTCTACAAAATCAATGGCTAAAGGCAAACAGAGAAATTGCAAACCTTGTTCTGTTTTATGAGACAAAAGATTCTTTACTCTGCGAGTCATACAGACTCTGCTGGGATAGGTTCAATGGCATTGGAGGCAGAATGCTGTGTTGTTCACAAATAGAAAATCCCATAACCATAATTTTTCCTTATGTTCAAGGACAAGAACTGCAGACAAAACACAGGGGAAGAAGTGCCTTACTCTGGGAGAGTCAATGATGCAAACTGCTTCTGAAGTTGGCTGTGAAGTTTTGAAAACTGGTCAAATGATTTTTCTGTCAGGCTCATTTCATTGTTACCATGTATCACCTGGATTAGATACAGCTGCAGAAAATAGACAAAAATCAAAAGGTGGCATTATCAACCTGTGATACACTTTAAAATATGGTTTCATGTAAGCTAAACAAAGCAAGAACTTTTCCACAAAATGTCATCCCATGAACAAAAGGATGCAATTTGTAAAGGCAGAATTACCTACAAACACAGTATATAAAGATATCGTAATCTTATGTGCTGGGAACAGACTGCCTAATTTCTGCTCTTCTTTTCATGCAGACACTTTAATTAGCTCTTGATTTATGGTCTACTACAGGCAGGAACTGTTCTCTTTGATGGTTCTCTACTAATAGCTCTGGTTGTTATGATTTCTCCTTAGAACATCCTCCTTAATGGCACTTCTGCTCAAACCGTAACTGATTTTTCATTTGCATAGTAAAAAAAATATCATGATATAAGGAAGGATGTGTAGCATAGTGAAGGGAAGTCTGAGATGAGGTCAACAGATATTTAAGTCAAATGACAGACTTGAGACTTACATTACTGGTTTTCTTACTGAACCTTAAAATTGTCGCTCTTTGAATTGACCTGGTTGCACTCAGCATACAGGATTCCTGGGAAGGAGTCTGTGAAGCAGATTTGGCAGGATTTGTGGCTGTCATTTGTGCAAGTGTATGGATCAAGTTATTTAACTTAACAGGGAAGCACTCCAGACTTTCCTTTATTTTCCTAGAGAAATGAAAAAGAAAAGATAGTGGGTAACATTTCCCTGAGTTGACTCATTTCACTTAAGATTTGTTTTCTTGTGTTTGTTAGATGTGGAGGATAGTCAAGAGCCATGTCTGTTTATTTGGAGCCCAACTATTAAATGTTATTTTTAAAAACCCCAAGTCACAACTTATGTTGTTAGCAAACATGTGTTGTTAGCAAACACAAAACTGTAATTGCAATTTTGACTTATTTTAGGTTTGTTTTCTAATTTTAGGAATGATTTATTTAAAACTTAATTTTAGTTTATAATTATTTAAAATATTTAAATAATTCAGAAGTTAAAACTACAAAACAATGTATATTCCAAGAAGCTGAGCATTTATCTCTGTACTCTCTATGCTATTCTTTCTCTCCCCCATATTTAAACATTCAAAAAATTATAGTTTAACTTTTATTGTTTATTTTATTTATATATATATTTGTGCTCTTCTTTCAACTGTATTACAAAAAAATTGCAGTTTATATACTATATTTAATATACATTATATGAAATATTTTTTACTCTGGTTTTTTTTTTTTCTGGTGGGTTGTTTTTGATGTGTCACTGTTTTTCAAGTCTTTTTTTTTTTTTTTGTATTTGAGGTTTGCAATTGTGTTCTAATGATACAATAAATATCTTCATATAATATTTTTATTCCCTCTGTACCCTCCTCTCCAGTAACTGATTTACAGTGTTGTCCTTTTTATCCTAGTTTTTTTTTTTTTTAATAATGGTTTCAGGAGTAGAATTTAGTGATTCATCACTTACATATAACACCCAGTGCTCATCCTGCCAAGTGCCCTTCTCAATGCCCATCGTCCATTTAGCCCTTCCCCCACCCAACATCCTCCCAGCAACCCTCAGTTTGTTCTCTGTATTGCCTCCCTCTCTGTATTTTATTTTTCCTTCCCTTCTCCTATGTTCATCTGTTGTGTTTTTTAAGTTCCACATGTGAGTGAAATCGTATGATATTTGTCTTTCTCTGACTTATTTCACTTAGCATAAAACATTCCAGGTCCATCCACATTGTTGCAAGTGGCAAGATTTCATTCTTTTTGATCACAAAGTAAGTAGTATTCCATTGTATATATATACCACATCTAATCTTTATCCATTCATCAGTTGATGGACATTTGGACTCTTTCCATAATTTGGCTATTGTTGATAATGCTACTATAAACATTGGGGTGCATGTGCCATTGGAATCAGCACTTTTGTATCCTTTAGAAAAATGCAATTTATCCAATTGTATTTATTGCAATTGCTGGGTCATAGGGTAGTTCTATTTTTAATTTTTTGAGGTACCTCCATTCTGTTCTCCAGAGTGGCTGCATCAGTTAGCATTCCCACCAGCAGTGATTTGTATTTCCTTATATTTTGATTTGTGTTTCCCTGATGATGAGTGATGCTGAGCATCTTTTCATGTGTCTGTTAGCCATCTGGATGTCTTCTTTGGAAAAATGTGTATTCAAATTTTCTGTTCATTTCTTAACTGGATTATTTGTTTTTGGGTGTTGAGTTTGATAAGTTCTTTATAGATTTTGGATACTAACCTTTTATCGGATATATCATTTGCAAATATCTTCTCCCATTCCATCAGTTGCCTTTTAGTTTTCCTGTTTCCATCACTGTGCAGAAGCTTTTTATCTTGATGAAGTCCCAATAGTTCATTTTTGCTTTTGTTTCCCTTGCCTCTGCAGACATGTGTAGTAAGAATTTGCTGTGGCTGAGGTCAGAGAGGTTGTTATCTATTTTCTCCTCTAGGATTTTGATGGCTTCTGGTCTAATATGTAGGTCTTTCACCCATTTAAGTTTATTTTTGTGTATGGTGTAAGAAAGTGGTCCAGCTTCATTCTTCTGCATGTTGCTGTCCAGTTTTCCCAGCACCATTTGCTGAAGAGACTGTTTTTTTCTATTACATTTTCTTTCCTGCTTTGTGGAAGATTAGTTGGCCATGCATTTCTGTTATCCTAGTTAATACTATAAGGCAAGCAGTATGTATACTCTGCTCTTCATATGTACTTCATATACCACTTCCATTTTCTTATAGAGCTATTCTACCTATATTGTATAGTATGTGTAGTATACATACCACACAGTTTCTCTTCTAACTACCATTAAATCTTAAACTATCCAGTAGGCATTATGTCTGCATCTCTGTCATTGGGACTACCTGAAGTTCATTCCCTACCTGAAATTCCTCAGAAAGTGCTCAAAGAAAAAAGTTTTTGAGTTTTAGATGTTCACAACAGTTTGTGGCCTGATTTGTAAGTCAGTTTGGCCTAATACATCATCTTTGGCTCACATTTTTTTTTTGAGTGCCAGAAAAACATTATTCCATTTTCCCCTGGAATAAAGAATTAGTATGCAAAGCTCTGATGACATACTGAACTTCTTTCTCTTATAAATAATAAATATTTGTTTCTTTTTGCCTAGACGACTCAAGGAAGTTTATTTTCCTTCAAAGTCCAATAGTTTTTCTAAAATATGTTTCAGGTTGGTTACTCTGGGTAATTTTTCCAAATATTCAATGTATCGCTACAATATGTAATTTCAAGACTTTTACCTCAGAAAATGTAATTTATGATACTGATATTTATTAAAATGCTAAATAATTTAGTATTTATACCATTTTAATATATTATTTGGGTTTTATTTTTTAGGGACTTTTAATATATATATATATATATATATATATATTGGATTTTCATTGCCTTTCTTAATTTTTTAATTTTATTTATTTTTTTTAATTTTTTTTTCAACGTTTATTTATTTTTGGGACAGAGAGAGACAGAGCATGAATGGGGGAGGGGCAGAGAGAGAGGGAGACACAGAATTGGAAACAGGCTCCAGGCTCCGAGCCATCAGCCCAGAGCCTGACGCGGGGCTCAAACTCCCAGACCGCGAGATCGTGACCTGGCTGAAGTCGGACGCTTAACCGACTGCGCCACCCAGGTGCCCCCTAATTTTTTAATTTTAAAAGTCCTCCTTTTTTCATCTATTTTTTCTAGAGGCATCTGTTGTGTTGTGTTTAATCTGCATTCTTTCTGGTTTGCTTTTAAAACTATGTTTTCTTTTCCCAGAAAGGAGCTCACAACTGTATGGTCAATTAATCTTCAACAAAGCATGAAAGAATATCCAACAGGAAAAAAGACAGTCACTTCAACAAATGGTGTTGGGAAAACTGGGCAGCAAAATGCAAAAGAATTAAGCTGGCCTGCTTTCTTATAGCATACACAAAAATAAGTTCAAAATGGATCAAAGACCTAAATGTGAGACCTGAAACCATCAAAATCCTGGAAGAAAACAGGGGAAAATTTCTTTGACATCAGCTATAGCAACTTCTTTGTAGATATGTCTCCTAAGGCAAGGAAAACAAAAGCAAAAATAAACTATTGGGAGTAAATCAAAATAGAAAGCTTCTGCACAGTGAAGGAAACAATCAACAAAACTAAAAGGCAACCTATGGAATGGGAGAAGATATTTGTAATTGACATATCTGATAAAGGGTTAGTATCCAAAATCTACAATGAACTTATCAAACTCAACACCCAAAATATGAATAACCCAATTAATAAATGAACAGAAGAGGGGCACCTGGTGGCTCAGTTAGTTAAGCCTCTGACTCTTGATTTCAGCTCAGATCATGACCTCACAGTCATGATCTCACAGTCATGATCTCATGATAGGTATTGAGCCTTGCGTGGAGCTCTGCATTGGGTATGGAGTCCGCTTGGGATTCTCTCTCTCCCTCTTCCTTTGCACCTACCCTGTTCATGCTCTCTCTTAAAAAAATAAAAAAGATAAAAACAGATTCTCTTTCTCTCTCTGCCACTTCCCTCCTCACCCACATGCATGTGCCCTCTCTCTCTTTCTCTCTCTCATAGACACACAAAATGAACAGAAGACATGAATGACATTTTTCCAAGGAAGGCATACAGATGGCCAATAGACATGTGAAAACATGTTCATCATCACTCATCATCAGGGAAATGCAAATCAAAACTAAATGAGATATTAACTCACACTTGTTGGAATGGCTAAAATCAGCATCACAAGAAATAACAAGTATTGGTGAGGATGTGGAGAAAAGGGAACCCTCATGCTCTGTTGGTGGGAATGCAAACTGGTGCAGTCACTATAGAAAACAGTATGGAGTTTCCTCAAAAAGTTAAAAATAGAAGTACCCTGTGATCCAGGAATTGCATTATTTACCCAAAGAATACAAAAACACTAATTCAAAGGGATATATGCACCTCTATGTTTTTAGCAGCATTATCTACAGTAGCCAAATTATGGAAACAGATCATGTGTCCACTGACTAATGAATGGATAAAGAAGATGTGGGACACACACACACACACACACACACACACACACACACACACAGTGGAATATTACTCAGCTATACAAAGAATAAAATTTTGTTAATTACAGGAATGTGGATTGATCTAGAGAGTGTTATGCTAAGTAAAGTAAGTCAGTCAGAGAAAGACAAATACCATATGATTTCACTCACATGTGGAATTCAAGAAACAAAACAAAATGAGTAAAGAGTAAAAATAGAGAGGCAAGCCAAGAAACAGACTCTTAACTGTAGAGAACAATCTAATGGTGACTAGAAAGGAGGTGGGTGGGGTAATCTGTTAAAAAGTTGATAGAGATTAAGTTAGTGCACTTGTCAAGATGAGCACTGGGTGGTGTACGGAAGTGTTGATCCATGATCCACTATATTTTACACCTGAAACTAATATTACATTGTTAACTAGTGGTAATTTAAATAAAAAGTTAAAAAAAAGAAAAATAAGCAATCTAAAAAGTTGTGTTTTATTTTTAATTCTTTCTTGGGTTCAGTCACCTCATTACTGAGTTTTTTAAATTATGATATATATTGTTCCTTTATGTCTTTATCATTTTCTTAATTTCTTTTAGCTCTATTTGGAATATAAGGATTCAGTTTAATCCTTTGGTGGGAATA